CACAAGACTAGAAGCTGGAGCGGGCACAAGACTAGAAGCTGGAGCGGGCGCAAGACTAGAAGCTGGAGCGGGCGCAAGACTAGAAGCTGGAGCGGGCACAAGACTAGAAGCTGGAGCGGGCACAAGACTGGAACGTTGAGTGGGAACAAGGATAGAAGTTGGAGCGTGGGCAAAACTAGAAGGTTCAGTGGGGGCTAGGGTTATATATTGAATGGGGGCAACGATGAAGGTGTGAGCGGGAACAAGGCCAGAGAAGTGAGTGAGAGGAAGACGAGATATGCAAATGGGAGGAAAGTTGTAGTCGTGAGGTCTGGCAAGGCCGAACACATTTGGGGGGTTAAAGTGAGTAGTGCGGGCAGTGTTTTTTCTCAGAATAGAAGTGTGTGAAACTACAAGAAAAGCAGTGGGATTGAGTGCAAGTTTAGAGACGGGAATAACAGAAAGAATAGAGTTAAGATTAGATGCTACATTATAAGTGTTATTGGAAGTACGATTAGGGCTGTGAACAGATGCTGCATTTGAGGTGTGCATGCCGGAGAGGTCGGACATGTGTGCAGGAACATCAGCGGTCGAGGGAAAAGTGTGTGTGGGCGGCCCAGGGGAAGAGGCGTTTGATTGGATCCGCTGCGGCTGCATGGGGGGCGAAGCGGGCCATAGCTCAGTGTGTGGTGGCGGGAAGAATCGGGCCTCAGTAGACACCTTCCTGAATTTCACGAAGAGGGAGAGCTGAACGTCCCCAGCGCGAGGCTGGGACAAGGCTCCAGGGCTGGCGGCATCTGCAAGCTGCTCTGAATCGGTGGCCTTGCGCTTGGCGATGCGAGGAGACGTCACGTCTGCCTCACGCACATCTCGACCTGCACACACGAATACATAACATCCGAACAGGCACACACAAAACTTTTACTCTCAGGTTGAGTGCAGTACTGCGAATTATTTTATACTGTACAATATTTCTAATTCCTCTGTAATACATGTTCTATAATGACGTTCAGCGCGATATGAATACGGATGTAAAATAGGTACGTGCAAACAAACAAATAATTTACAATTATTTCTCTTCTTTGAATATTCAATGTAACAACTTTTTAATAATTCAAGATAAGCAAGTTTTCTTCCTGAAGATTAATTTCAAATTAATGCCTTCCGTGCATAGTAATGATTCAGAAGAAAATTAACCGACGGGTTTCACCGAGCGTCTGTGGGGCCGGATGGCGAGAGTCGCCGCGAAGGGCGTGGCGGTCATGCGACATCTAGCGGCATGATCGAGAAATACGCCAAAGGCCGTGAGATATTCAATCGTGAAATCAGACCCTCACACGCCCAAAAATAAGAATCCAAGTATAGAACAGATCAGAGCGGTGATTTTTTAGAATTACAATTATTTTTACAGATTCAAGGCAGAAACCACTCCGCAATAAACATTCTTCTCACGTCATACGTAAGCTGTCTTCTAATAATAAGTTATCATACACCTGACTAACTTTGTTCACGTACATCATCCCAAAATAGTTGCAATTTCCTGCTACATTACCGAATTCTTTACATATATTAGCTCCACATTAACATTGCATTGACTACTGAACATAGTTGCCTCTGAAAAAGATTGAATTACAGTGTGTGTGTGTGTGTGTATATATATATATAATATTTCATAGAATTAAACGGAACACACACTTGCCTTTACGTACATTGTGAATCACCAAAGACACCGTAGCAACTCTAATATAGTTTTTCT